TTGTGGAAAATTTTGTGCAGTATTTGTTTTTGTTCGGCACCGACACTTTTACTTTCGCAACTGGTAAACACTAAAATTTCATTAGATTAGCGTCAAGCGCTTGTTGGAAGGTTAACAACTACAGACCTCAAAGTGCTTTACTCAACCATTTATTTACTAACTTTTCAAAACCAAACAAATTAACAAATTAAATATTTTTAACCAATGAAATGAATTCTAGCATTTTTTTATTTAAATTACATTCAATTCCTGAAATTTATTTGCTATCGCATTGATAATAAGAAATTTTCATTAATTTTGAAATAAAAATAGGTACTTTTACTATTACTATAGATACTTTTATATGATTACACTCGCAATAGCCTTGATCAAAATCTTATCAATTCTTTGAGTTTTATATATAGAGATATAGAGTTTCAGAAATGTATTATGCAGGACATAATCCGGCATAGCAGTTGACGACGAAAGACGTAGTCATTTAACGACCAAATGCATTTATTATTTTACTAATATATTTAAATGTATTATTATTTTCCTATTTACAAATTAATATCATGATTTATTTGAAGAATGTTAATTTTTTATTGTTCATTCAAAGAATGTCTGTTAATCAATATAATTTTAAAATTAAAACATCTTTAATAAATTTTCAATATATCAATTATGAAATACTCTGCGTCTATTTCTAGAAAAATAAACTGATACACTTGTCACATCTACACATCTACTTATCGCTTTCAAAGCCATATATACAGCCATATAGACCAACGTTTATAAGCATTTATAGCTCCATTAGAATTGGGAAACATTAAAATTGGGTTCGCTATCAACCGCGATTACGTTCGTTACCAAACGAGATTTCTTTTAACAGCAAACGAGATTTCGATCGATACTAAACGAGATGATACTTTGTCGTGTGATTCCTTTAATCGAATATTGAAAACGATAATCTAAGCAGTAGATTAGAACCGTACTGCTACACTATATAAAAGAGTGCAAAGCTACTTGAGTATGCCAATGATAATGATACTATTGGCTTCAACAGCACCATCGTCGATGCAAAATTTTTTCATTTAGAAAATCAAGTGGAGCAAGTAGGTCTGCGATACTAAGCAAGATGACTCTTTCTCGTGTGATTCCTTTAATCGAATGTTAAAAACAATAATCTGAGCAGTAAAATTAATATTTATAATCAATACCACTGATTTGGTCATGTCGTATAAATGCGTGCTCCTGCTAAAAAGATGTTTGATTCGGTACTCCCTGGTAGAAAAAGTCATAGAGGAATTATTTGAATATCGTCGCCACTTAGTGTATAACACAACACTATGAAAATATTTTTCATATTGCCTTTAAGTTAATTATCGGTGACTTGTCGACAAATGCCTGATTATAGCACGGCTATAAATTAATGGTTGTTCGTCAAATTCCTTACAAGTTTAAAAACTGTCCTTTGCGTTATCATGATAAAAAACTCTAATGGTTACAAATTGCATTATCTTAGTAGGCAAATAACGTTGCTAAAATGAATCACAAACCATTAAAAAAATCTGTTAAAACCACATATGTTTGACATCATATCAACAATTCCAAATTAAAAAAATTGTATGTGGCTGTTGCGATTAGAAATAAATGTTTGTGGCACAAATTTTTAATTTTCAAAAAAGTCCAAACATATCACACCTGCAGACTAAATGTCACACAATATAGTAACTTTTTGTGATTGTAAAGTTGATTACAGATTTTCTCTGCCACATACTGACTGATTAATTGCTAATCTTTTAGGTCCGTGGTATATGAAATTCCACACAGAAACTGTGCTTTCTGTTTAAAATTAGTTGTAGAAGTTACGGAAGTTTGGACGAAGAAAAAACTACCACACACTCTGTGACTACACAGCGAAGAAAAAGAAAAATATGTTTGATGAAACATATTTTTTAGGTAGTACTCGTAATTTCTTCACAGTCTATCTGACTGCTCATCTTTGAAAAGAAAAATTTGTTAAACTACATAAAGTCAATTAGAAGAATATAGTTTGTTTTTGAAAGTTCCTTTCGAGGAGTAAATACCTAGTAATTATGTGAGATGTAAAGGAATCTGCAGTTCAGCAGATACCCAATGACGGTTCTGTTTAACAGTGCTGCTAAATTATACTACAAAATTGTTCATCCTATATATTGCATATATATTGAATATGCTATTAGAATATTAAAACTGTTCAGTTAATAACGAATAACCGAAGAGTAGGAACTTAAATTTAAAACACATCCATATTTTAAACTTCAAATATCTCGCATCATAATTTCTTTAATATCACGTGAAATCAATATTTATCAGCCTGACAGTTACTAAAGCTACTGAGTGCATTCAACCAGTCAATATCAATAATGTCAATTTTTGGTATATAAAAATACCTACAAAATGTTCAATATTTTTTTCTAATATTGTCGCAGTTCATGACAACTGATACTTTGATATCGAAATGACGAGTTCAATGTCCTGAAGTGAATTTAGAATTAATGTCAAAAGCTGTAAAATTCATTTCAATGAAATCATAAAGTTCATTGCTGTGAAATTCAAAAAATTTTCTTTGACTGCTTGCTGTGCACGATTTTGGAATTTCAAAAATTAATTTAGTTTGCATATCCAAAATACTCAGAAAATTGCATCCTGTAAATGTTATGTTCATCAAATTTAGTACCTTCGCTTTGAACATCACCAGATGAACTCATTGAAATGCAAGGCTCGTTGCAACAGTTTGCACACATCAAACGACTAATGTAAATGTCATGGACAGGACATGCGTCAAAATGTCGAATAAGTTTATGCGGAAAACAAAAAACGCCTATTTTTTTAGATTCAACTTGCTTTAATCTACAAAATTTTGAAATGGCATAAAAGTGGAAACTAATGGAAACAAGAAAATTGTATTTAACAAAAAAAACATTTCTTTAATATGATTTCAGTGTAGACATTTCCATACTTAAACAGTATATTACCATAAAAACATTCACTGTCTATAAGAGTTTTGTCAGCTTTTAGATTGAATGCATTTTTCTAGTATCTTACGCACGGTATATTTCAATTTAAAATGAATTTTGTGTCTTTATTATACAGACTTAACAATTAACTGAGTTCTCTTATTCTCTTATCTGAGTTTCTAGACATAGAAGTGAATAAAAAGCGAATAGTTAATCCTACATTGATGCTTTAATGGATAATTATTTTAGGGATAATAATTTACGTTTCCCTTGTAAATAAAGAGAGATGCACCTATCTATACTTTTTTCATCTAACAAAAAGTGTACATTACTTACAACATGTCTAACATCCTGGTGGACCTGGATTTTATAAAGTTAGTTCAGGTAGTGAAAATTCCTTAAGACCGCGCCAACATAATTAGGATAATTGAGTTCATTCAAACTTGTGTTTTTGTTGTTATTGTGGTTTGAGTTAGTGCTATTGCGCACTTTTACTCTTTTATGGTTGGGGGGGATTATCCCTGCCCCACATTAAGCTTTAACTATTCTAAAATTATTATCATTTATTTATCTTTTAACTGATGACGAACCGTAGATCAGCATATCTTCCTGTGCGTCCTGAGGTGGACTTAAGGTTTGTTAGGGCGAGGTTGGGCAACGTATCGACTTTTGTGAATAATTTAAGGGCTCTGTTCTTGACATATTTTTTCACTGAGTCGATCCTTAGGTCTCTATGCATATCTGTTGTTCTAATATACCAAGGAATCTTAATTAGTCTTCTTAAAGCCAGATTTTGTGCTATCTGTAATTGCTTTATAACAGTATTTGAGGCTTTGCTGTATGTTACACATCCGTACAGTAATGCTGGCCTAATTATTTGAGTATTAACAACTTTCTATTTTTGAAGTTGAATCGATTTTTATTAAACAGCGGCTTTAGGAGATGTAGATGTTAAGAACAACCATTCCGTTCGAATTTCTTATGTTTATACCAATCAAGCCATTTGTCAAAAGTGACCCCCAGATATTTTATGCTTTCGTCCCACCATATCTCCGTGCCACCGATGCTCACTTTTGGAGGATGCTGCCTTCTCTTTCGTGTTATGAATACAGCCTTGTGTAGAATCAGTCTATTTGCATTGCCATTGTGTTCTTTACGTTATGATTATATTTTTTAAAAATATATGTTTGTCTTGACTTTTGTGTCAAAAAATAAACTTTATTGAGGAAAATTCAATTTTAAATTGAATTCATATTTTTTTTTCTGTTGATGTGAAAGTTTCAAATTCTGGGTTATAACATCGATTTATTATATATCAGATTTGGAGACTTTTACGAAGCTTTTTGGGTAATATCTGGAGAATAACTGTGAGTACTTATTATGTTCTAACAAAAATATATAGATGTCACTTATATGTTGTATATATTTCAATATATTTAGTGTGCTCTAAGCAAAAGTCAATTACTTGAAAAAATTACAGCATATAACATATTTATGTTACATATCTATTAAAGAAGTTATTATTTATAAAATTTGTTAGAAGTGCGAATTAAATAACGTCGTAGACCACAGATTGATCTATTGTGCCTCATGTAAATCTTATTAGCTATTTTATTCAAATCGTGGACCGGCATTTTTGTTTAAGTTAATTGAAAGCCTTGACTAGATTGATTGACCGTTGTATAATACTACAACTGATGGGCCTATTTTGCCTTTTGTGAAATATATCAATTATTATTTTATCGAAAAAAGGAATTAGTTTTGATTAGAAAAAAATTGATATCTTTTTTAAATACTTAAATACAAATTAACATTTATTTTTATTAATAAATATATAATAATGCTAAACAAACGAATCTATAGTGCACACATAAAAAAAATTTATTGTATTTTTTAAATACCAATAAAATAATTAATTAATTTTTGCATTTTTTGTAAACTTTTATTTAAAAAGATATAGTAAAGAAATTGTAATTTTACAAAAAATATTTTAACACTATTGATTCCATGAAATTTCAGGTAGTATCAGAGTTAGTGAACTAAGCAAAATTTCAAAACAGAGCAAAATTATCCGAGGAGAACAGGTGTGTATAATTATTAATTATTATTATTATAAATATCTTTTTAATCATTTATTTAGTAAATGAGTTGTTTTTGATTATCCGCTAGTTGTAAATATTGTAGCAAAAGTTTTAAAATTTCATTCATGTTATTAAATCATAATAAATTATTATTTTTTACAAATAGTTTAATAGAACAATTTGAGTGGAATTGGTTTGCATCCAAATTTTCAAATATCAAAACATAGAAGCTTTTCATTGTGCTTTGAAGGTGAAATATGTTTTCTATGACCCTAGGTAAATCCCAGGATATCTTAGAACACATTTGGCATATTTGAGTTAATAATTAATAATTGTGCTTCTTGTATAAAATAATTATTTTTATAAAAGAGTTTAAATCGAATATTTAAGATATTTAGAAAATTCCTGAAGTATTAAAAAACAACATTTAGAGTAGTCACTATATACAATGTTTCTACAACATTTATTCAGGGTAATATAAAAATTGTAATAGTAATAGCTGCTGTATATTAGAACAGGGTCTTCTTTTATTTTTCCTCACTATTTTTATATAAAAGTAGATAATTCCTTTAAAAGTTATAGTCATAACTTTTTTAGTAATGCTTTAAAAAACTCACCTTGCAAAGACTTACGTCTAGCAATATTTTAAAATAAAGCTACGTATCCAAAATTAACATGTATCGAAGGCTATAAGATATATTGGACCATTTGTGGTAAAAACGTGGCAAAAATATATGAATCATTTTCTGTCAATATATCCAGAAAAATGCACTGTTAATGAATCGTCAAGGGCACCAGATTAGAGCCATGAGCAATAATTTAGCTTTTTATGGCTTTATCAGGACTTTATCAATTAGTTATTAAGACACCATTTGTTTTCTGCATTCTGTACAGAAATGCAACTGTAGACAGAGTTTTTTTTTGGAAGTTATTTGCTTTTAATCTATAAAGAAAAGTTGCCGTTTGTAGAATAAACTTGGAAGTAAATTAATCATAAGTATAATATGCTGTTAAATATTCAAAAAATTAAAGATCAATGATGTTTCTATAACGGCTAATTGACAGAATATATCGAAAGTGATAAAGCCAGCTATTTAAAAAACACATTCACATTTTCATAGAACATTTTTAATTATTTTTTTTTAAAAATCATTTAAAAAAAATTTGTCAAATAAATTTTCTTTTGTTAACTACAGATCAAAATTCCTTCGCAATTAGCTTACAAAATTATCAAATAAAATTCTAAAATTCATCGGACAAGACTATGCCGACCAACAACTTTTTCAATTTTTTAGCAAAATTTCGGAAGATGAATACTGGTTTAACTTGTGTCGAAGTCGCAAAGGCAGCTGGATCTGTTTGGCGGAAAATGTCATGTGAAGAAAAGGAAGAATATTCACCGGAAGGGGGAGCGTCACAAATTTCCGAAAAAATCAAAGAAGTTCCGAAAAGGCGAAGTAAAATAAAATATAAAAAGAAAGCACCCATTACAATGGAAGCGGAAGATGATGAATCTACTCTTTACTTGATTTGTGATAGATGTAAAAGACCAATGCGACCAAGTAAAGCAGGTAAAAGTAAGGCAAAAGGCAAACCATGTAAGTCCAAGAGAAAGCCACCCGCAAAGAAGTGTGCAAAAAAAGCTCCAAAAAAGAAGCGTAAAAAATGCAAGAAGTGAAAATCTTTCTCAACACTTAAGTAAGTAAAAGGTCATGGGAATATTATATATATATATTCACTTACTATTTGCTGAAAGGTATATCGAGTTTAATATATTATATATCAAAACTATATCAATTGTCATAAATACATATTATATAAAACTTTTTTTATTATAAACATATTTGAAGTATGTTTAAAAATAAAAAGATATGTAGTTTAAGAAAAAACTCATTCTTAAAGATTTTATGTTTATTGGAATATTTTTTTTACAATGCCATGCCGTGTTTGTGTATTAATATACATGATAATAAAATTATTAATATTCTTAATGTATTTTCAGTATTTTTCTTTTCTGAATTTGTCCCTGAAATACTTAAACTGAGACCACTGCCAAGACCCCAGCTATTCGATACTAAGGCACCAGCTATTCATCCAGACATATCCAGTAATAATGATGTTTTGTCAAACGTAAAAAATTAATATTTTGTATTAAATCTTTTACTTGATATTTTTTCTTTAATTTCAGCTCCCATTTTTCGTATCATAAAAGTCTATCTTATGGACCCAAGAAACCAAGACCATTAAGACAATATTAATTGTAATGTTAAAGTTATTTAAAGAAACGAATCAACATAATGTTATCAAATTATATATTTGATAAAAAAAAATTATATGGTGTAACATAAGGAAACTCTTTCATATCATAAAAGCCTGTCTTATGGACTCAAGAAACCAAGACCATTAAGACAATATTAATTGTAATGTCAAAGTTATTTAAAGGAAGCAATCAACATAATGTTATCAAATTATATATTTTGTAAAAAAAAATTATATGGTGTAACACAAGGAAACTCTTTCATATCATAAAAGCCTGTCTTATGGACCCAAGAAACCAAGACCATTAAGACAATACTAATTGTAATGTCAAAGTTATTTAAAGGAAGCAATCAACATAATGTTATCAAATTATATATTTTGTAAAAAAAAAAATTATGTGGAGTAATACAAAGAATACTAATTAATTAATTAGTTAATTAATTAATTAAAAATAAATAAACATAAAAACCATATGTTCTTTAAATATCTTCGCAACTATTTTAGAAATTTTAATAATAGTAACATAATAACAAAAATAATATAATAGTTTAATAAGACAATTATTGTATTATAATATAGTATTAACTTTAAAAAATACCTTGTTGAATTTTTTTTTGTTTTTTGTGATCTTTAAGTCTTTTTTTTTATACCAAGATTTAGCTGCACAAAAAATTTAACCATGAAAAAATTCTATAATTTGGCATGCCTTCATTAAAATTTCGCTACCTCTGTAAAAAGTAGTTTCAGAAGCTCACGAAGCGTCATCTATTCGTAAACAGTAGAAACCATTCATCATTCATGAAAATAACTATATTCTTATTCTTATTTTGAATTCTAAACTTATAGATCATATAGATCATATCATATTTATTGTTTACAACCTATTTCAAATTGACATGTGTATTTTTGAAATTCATGCTATTATTAAATATTGTAAGAAGACTTTTAAAGGAAGAAATATAAGAATTTATATTAAAATGGTAAATATATTAAGTAAATATGCTTCATTAAAAATTATGGCTTGGCTGTCCTCTGTTTTGTTTAAAAATGGTCGCACAATCCTTGAAGACAATCCACGTATAAGACATCCAAAAACTAAATCGAAATATGACATGACTTTAGAAGATCGTCGATTGACTGAGAAAATTGTAGCAGCAACCAGTTTATTTTTCTTCTACCATATCTATTGTTGACTTCATACTCCTCTTACACTGTAAAATTCTGTAAACCGGAAAATGAGATTCAAACGAAGTGTCATAGTAAGTACCACAGAGAGTTGTTTAGTAAACTTCTAGAAAACTACTGCAGAGATAGAAACACAAATCGAATGAGTTAGGATTTCCATTCCGAACTCATTGAACAAACTAGTGTTGTGGTGAACTGCAAACTGAAAGTTATAAGTATATTTTTGATAATGAATAAAAGTTACTCCAATAATGACACCTACATTATTTTAAAAGAGTCGTAAATTAAAAGCTGAGCCGAGAGCTGTCATATATAACCTATTTAGCCCTCAGTTAGATTATTGTAGCTAAGAGATTTTGCCTGAATTGTGTTCTTCAGTTTAAAAAAGTTTCATTTGTCAAAGTTTGTCAAAGCCATTCAAAAGCTAAATTGAAAGAAAAAGTATTGAAATTTCAGTTTAAAAACCACAAAACTTTGATCGAAACATACAATGTTTAGTTTATTAAAAAAAAGTATACGTGCCGGCAACAAATTTCAGACTTTCATGAATTTTTATGAGACAAAAAGCACATGAAAGGCAATCAAATAAAATAAAGAATTTAAACTGCAAAACAAAGGTAAAATGTAGAAAAACGTGTGGAAAAAAGTTTAAAAAATAAAATTTACTAGATGACAGTACAATATCGTCCTTTTTATTGAAAAACTATGCCAGACTAGGCATGTACATATGGCAAAAGTTCGTAGTTTCTGATGAGAAAGAACAAACGAGCATTGCCTTTTTATACGTATTCAAATATGGATTTCGAATCCTTTTGTTAGTGAAGGCAATCCTAGAACTAAAAATGTATAAAAAGGAAAATTGATATTTGATGTTTCAAGTGTCACAACAAAAGCAAACAAAGAAACTCAGATACAGATAGACACATAGGCACACAAATAGATAGATACATTCCATAAGCAAAATGCGAAGGAAAATTGGCAATTATTGGCTTTCGACTTTTACTTTAATTGGTATTTTACGAATAAAATACGAGTAAAAATAGGAAATTTTATAAATGCAACATAAAATCCTAAAAATTCTATTGAAATATTTTATGAAAGAGAACATTTATCTAACTTAACTGCATTTTTACTAACTGACAATAAATAGTTTTGTCAGCAAGTCGAATCCTTTCCATAATCGTTTGTGAAATTGCATACATAAAAGATTTTATCGCAAATAATTTAGAACGTCACAAAAGGATTCAATTTGGATTTATTGTAAATAAAATTAAAAATTCTTTAATTCTCATTGCTGAGTGTAAACGAAGTGTAAAATGCACTTAAGTTCAGCAATTGTTGAATATTTAAGCACACTTCCGAGCCATAAATTTTGAATTATGAATAGTTAAATATAGAAAATGATTGGTCTATGCCAAAGGGACTTGTTATCAGCAGTTGGCAGCAATGAAAAGGATATGACCTCCGTTCGAAGGAAATGAATTGTGTTTTAATGAAATATGCTAATTTTAGCTTCTTTGAGTAAAAATTCGATGAGATTGAATTATACATCAAAGAAAAACATACAAAAAAGGGAAATCAATAGCAAATTTTGCATTGTTAAAATTAATTTTCAAATAGTCAAAGGCTTTTAAAATGACAATTCATTTTTTTTTGAAAAAATGTGTTCAATTTTATATAGAAACTAAATGAGGTTACTTTAGACCTCAAATTACACAACTTAGTCAAATGATCGCTAAATAATAAACCTATCACTTACATACATAAGGATTTTAAAATCCATCTAGAAATCCAAAAACATCAACAATTACAATTACAAGCATTTAGTATCTAGGACTGACAAACAAAAGTATTCGGAGGATTTCATTTTAAGCATTCTTGAACTGTGGAATTTAACCATGCATACGATTTTGAGTTTGTTCAGTAAAATCCTATAAGGCACTTAATCAAATCGCTTCTCTAATAAAGATATATTTTAATCATTTAAGAAAAAAAAATTACTTCGGATTATTGCTTCTCTGATAAAGATATATTTTAGTCATTTGAGAAAAATTAAAAAAATTATTTCAATTAACTGCTTTTCTGATAAAGATAAAATAAATCTTCATTTGAAATCATTTGAAAAAAAATAAAAAATATTGCTAAAGACATATTTTGATCATATTTTAAAAATAAAAAAATTGCTTAGCAGTATACATCAGACAAAAATACACACTCTTCCCGTAAGAAAATAAAGGCAGACATCCCCAGAGGCATTGAGAGGGGTTATATTCTTTACACATGATTCCCTTAATGCCGAACACTACTTCAAAGAAATAATTGTAACCGACACAGCCATTTTAGTTGTCCAAAAATTGGCTTATCCGGGTATGTAAACTGCTTCATCCACTTACAATAAAACACTAATTAAAATTGCACCAAAATTGAGAAGATTCAGACATTCTAAAACAACGTTCTGAAATGTGATGGTGATGCAGGTTTGTGAAACTGATTTCAATACGATTTCGTCCAAGGCTAACGAAATCAAAATATCATTAGCAATTCTTTAAAAGGGTGATAGAAATGTCCATTGCTATAACAAATCCATCGCCCACGACTACGATATTCACATTTTATAGCAAACTCTACAGGTGAGGTAAAAATTGACATTTCCATTTCCTTCGCAGCTACGAAATTCATATTTCGTAGCAAATCTTTTAATGCAATAAAAAATGTACATTTCTCTGAACGAAAGTCAGCTAAACAGTTCCAGACAAATAAATTTATTATGGAGCTGGACCTGGGATCCGGACCAGCTAAACCTTGGCGAAAAAGGTTCGTTACAGTTTACTTGAAAAAATTTGATAACCATGAGAATAGATAGAATTAGCCCTTATCCAATCGAATGGAAGCAAAGATTTATCCTTAAATGCTAATAGTCTCGCTATTTCATAGAATAACCAATTTCTCCGCAAGTATTGTGTAGGGCGGCAATAATATTAAATGTAGTATTAAAAATTCAATGCAAATTGTTCGTCAGCAAAAAAAATTAAAATTATGTGTATATAAAAAGACATTCTATATATAAACTCTAATATTGTTATAGATATAATTAATTTATAAATAATTTTTTTATACTTAGCGAATATGTTGATATATTTTAATTTTTATTTTCCTTTTTTGTCTTCAAATATTTCTATTATCAACATTATGTATTGTTATTAACTTGTAATATTTTAATGCTGAAATACATCACTCAACTATTAATTATAAAATAACAATAGAACTGTAATCGTTTGAAAAATTGGTAAAATAAAGTATCAAATAAATAAATCGAGTATTATTTATTACTAATACTTATTCTAAGGCATATCGTAGTCATTCCTAATAACAATAATTTTTTCATGGAAGAAAAACTAGGAAAGAAAAAATAAATGTTCCATTTAGGCCATGTGCGAGTTCGAGTAAATTGAGGTAAAGTAAATTGAAATTTCCTAGAGATTTTTTGTACTTCACTTATGTAAATATTTATTTATTGCACTTATTTATTATTTCTGGTTAAAAGTTTTTCAATTTATTTATTTATTTATTCAACATCTTACAAAATTTTCACACCTATTGATAACACCTAGTTTACCTAATTTTTATCTAATTTACCCCACTCGAAATTCTGGTAAATACCAACATACGCTGTCATACCGACATAGTCTATTATTTCCCTTAATTTACCATCTATTTACTCGCACTCACACACAGCCTTTAAAATTTTGGAGAATATAAAACATTTTGTAAATATTTTCAATGTTAAAATAAAAATATTAATATAATTTAAAATAATAATAAAAATTAATTTCCATTACATGTTTTTTATACTAAATGTTTTGGGCTCTAAAATATTTATTTATATTATTTATATGTGATTTACTACTTATTTAATTTTTCATTTATAATCGCAGATATTGAAATAAAATTAAAGAAAATTATATTTTCAAAAAAAACTTACCCTTACGTCTTGCACAATTTTATTGGCCACAAACATTCATTTATTAAAATTCACAAAAAGTCAATTTTATCAAATAATATTTAAAATTTATTTTTATCACATTTTATTACACATTCTTTGTATACATAACATGCAATTTTAATAAATATTTGCAATGGAATTAGTTTTGGTCATTTTTTATTAAATTACTTACTTGAAACACTGATTTTAATAACACAAAAGGAAATTTCAAATTTATTTTACACTAACATATCTCAGCTTTCCATAGCCGTGATTCTAACAACTGCGCTGCTTGCGCTCTCACAACTGCGAAATGTTGTTTTTGTATTTAACGTATATTACACTCATTTTCTGCGAGATGTTGTTTTTGTATTTAATGTATATTACACTCGGTCATTTTCTTACTATGCAATTTATATTCTAATTTAAATAATTAATTTCACATTGATGATCTAGTAATTATAATGTATTTAATTTAATATAATAAATATAAATCAAGAAATATGTATATGACTTTTAAAATATGTACTATTATTATTTTAAATTATCATTTATTATGCACACATTTTCTCAACTAATCGAAAATGTGATGGAGTTCACTTTCAAATTAGAATTATTATTATTTATATGTAAAAGATTTAATTTTTAAAGAATTTATTATCTTAAAAAACAGATGATTTATTTAGTTAAATACTTCAAATCTTTTTAGTTTTGAATAAATTATCACTCCACACCGAACCCAATAAAGCAAAAGGAAAGCAGAACACGCAACGATCAAATCGACATCATAACCCGAACTACTCACTCCTAATCTGTTTTAATTATATTTTATGAGTATATTCGTTTAACGATTTATTTTTATTCGTTATGAATGTGTCTGTATGCACCGGTATTTAACACGTCATTTTTTTCGATATGTTGTGTACGTGGGAAGGACTTTAAAACATTAAAAAAATTTTTTTCCGATTTAAAAATTTTTTTTGAAAAAAATATTTTGAATTTATTTAAATTTATTTTTTAGAATATTTGTACGAATTTAACCCAACTTTATACATACGTACAATATGTATTAATCAATACATCAACATTTGAATCACTTTTTTTTCTTTAATTGATTATACATGCATTAACATATTAGTACATATTATTCCAATAAAATACTGATACAAAATTAAATACTCATAACTTTTTCAAGAAATAATTATTAAATAAATTATATAACGACTTCGTGCTTTCCTTGAATTATTTTTTAAAGATAACTCATTTATTTTTTTAAAATTATTTTTATAAAATTTTAATTAAACGAACATTTGTAACTACTATATATAAATATATTGTTTATAATGGATGTAGAAAATATTAAAAAAATAATTTATCTGTCGAAGAGGGTTAATACAAATATGAATATACAATAAAACAAGTAATTCATATATTGAAAGATACAACTTACGCATAGTGCTGGATTTTTTATTGACATATATTCTACATAAATATGATACAACAAATAAATAAATTATTTTTGATTATTTTTCCATGAGAGTTTTTTAACGAAGTAATGTTTATTCCACTATTCTGTAGTCCTTCCCACGTACACGACATATCAAAAAAATGACGAATTAAATACCTCTGCATAGAGAATAATAATCATGTGGAATAAAAAGGAACCGCTAAACCAATAATGATTAAATACAATTAAAACACATAAGGAGTGAGTAGTTCGGGTTATGATGTCTCTTTGATCGTTGTGATTTCTGCTTTCGTTTGCTTTATTGTGTTCAGTGTGCAGTGTCAATTTATTCGAAACTAACTAAAAAACGTTAAAGACTTAATTAAATAAATAAACTTTTATTAAAATATAATAAATTCTTAATGAATAAAGTACAACAACAAACTTACATGTTTAGAATAATATTTTTAATTAAAAAGTGAACTGCAATCACACTTTCGTTGAATAGAGGAAATGTCTTTATAAATTAATGAGAATTCAAAGTTACAAGTATACGATTAGGACGAAATAAAATTTTTAAAATACATATTTCCTATTAATATATTACATTATAAATATTAAATTAAATACGTTATAAATATTAGTTATATCAATGTAAAATTATTATATAAATTAATATTTAAATAGTATTTAAACATAAAAAAAAAACAGAATTGATGTACCTTCAAAAAAAATGAAAATGTAATATACGTTAAATACAAATACAACAAATACCAAGTAACATTTTGCAGTTGTTGGAACGCAAGCAGAGCAGTTGTTAGAGCCGTGACTATGCTGAGATGCGATAGCAATGCTTTTGAAACGGTCAAGAACAAGAAGAAGAGTGTGAAATAAATTTGAAATTTTCTTTTGTGTTATTAAAATCAGTGTTTCAAGTAATTATTTTAATAAATAATCCTGACGACTTACATTGCAAATACGTAGTGAAATTGCGTTTTGTATATACAAAAAAATTTTAATGTAGTGAAATATAATTGAAATAAATTTTATTTATTAGCTGAAGCAAATTGACATTTTGTGAATTTTAATATGTGAACAATACATGAAGGTAAGTTCATTTTGAATTTATATTTTACTTTTTGTTTGATTTCATTTACGCCGTCATAAATTAAAAAAGTTACAATAACCATAAATTGGATAAATAAATATTTTAATAACAAAATTGTTTTATATATAAAATCCATATTCATATAATAAATCCAATATTTATTTTTTTATATTATTATTTTAATTCATATCAACATATATATGTTAGCTCTGAAAGTATATTATCTACATAAAATTTTATACTTTCTTATACCCCAAAAATTTTAAATGGAACATTTATTTTTCGTTTTTTCTTCCGCTTATTCATTATTTTTCTGTGAATATATTTTCACTATTGTTACTAACATAAATGATCTTGTGGTTTTTAAGAACGATATGCCCAAAAACAAACATTTGTGAATATATAAAAAAAATACTATATGTAAAATTTTTGCCTACAACTAGAATTATATTAAATATGTAAAATGTGGTAATAATAAAAAAATAACAAATTTCTTAATTAAATTATTTTATTAAAAGAATAAAAGAGCTAAATTGTTAGTTCAAGAAGTGATTAAATATAATTAAATGATTAAGTTTATTGAGTTTATTAAAACAATTTTAAGCCCTAAATTTACCAAACTTAGTAATTTTTTTAAAAAATATATTGTTTTTTATTTAACTTCAATTCTTTTTCAATTTTTAAAGTAAGATGATCTAAATTGTACTCAATTTTACTATCAACATTTTAAATATTTCAAAGAAGATTAAGAAATCAGTTCAAGAAAAGTTGCATCTAGTTTTAAACAGTACAAATTTTTAGAATTTCATGTTCTGAGCACCCGGTTATTCACCTCAATATATTATATTACATTTTGATTCAAGTTATATTAAACACAATTATTCATATTGAAATCAACTACATATTTAGATATGTACTCCTTATATAGTGATTTCAATTATTAGTGCATCATTAAAGCACTTTTGTTAAATTTTGCACCACAATCAGTTTGTACAAGTTAATATGTGAAACTCAAGCCTATTGTTAGTGTAAAGCGGTTTAGCTTATAGACTTAAAATAAAAGTAAGTCCCAAAACACTAAACAATATGCTGCACTTGGCTTATTTACTTTTGTACAATATAACTTCGAATAAAATTTTTCCACTTCTTGAAATATTTTGTTGTGACTGGTAGTTATATTTTGATACCGTTTTTAATTTATCGTTTGTAATATTAGTTAGTCATAATGTTCTAAATAATGTTGCAGTCGAATTTTAAAATTAATAAATCGGTAAGGATTTATAAATTTTATTATTTATGATTTATCTATTATTCCATTCAAAAATATTACCAAATATATAAATATTTAATTAATCAATATTTATATATCAAACAATTATTATATTAACCCTATTAAATAATTTATATATAAATTCCACCTTTATATATTTATATATATAGAATATTTAAAAAATATGTAATATTTAATATTTTAAATTATGCAAATTATAATTACAATATATAAATTATCTATTTATATAAATATAATAATTTAATATATAGTTATATATATAGCAAAAAATTAATTATCTATAAATAATTATATAATATATTAATATAATTAAAAACTAAATATTTTATTATTATAATAATATTTATTAACTATAAAAAAATATATTTTTTAAAATTACATATAAAATTTCAAATTTATATTAAATTTGTATTCAAAAATATTTAATAAATTTTTTTTTATAAATAAAATTATTTTTTAATAATTTAAATTAATTATATATTTAATAAAATTAACAAAATATTATTAAATATAATTTTTAATTATTTATTTATCATATTTAAAAAAAAGTTTTTATAAAATTATATGAAATTTTTCAAATGAATTGCCTGATTAAAGGGTTACATTGATAGAGTAAATTATTTGGTTTACCATATTCATTAATTTATTTATATTAAATAGAATTAAACTTTTCCTAAAAAAATCAAAATCTTTTGTGCTTCTTACACTAAAAAATATTTAATAAAACTAATAAAAAAATAAGCTAATTAAGCTAATGGGTTCGTACCCCATTTATAAAGGTTCCAATCCTTTTTCTTTTCATTTTTATCAATTCATCTAAAATTTTATTTTTTTTTAATCGTAATTATAGGAACAATAATTAGTATATCTTTAAATTCATGATTAATAGCATGAATATGTTTAGAAATTAATCTACTATTGTGGTACCTGTGGATAATATTATTTGCTACTGGAAATTATCTCTAGATTACCAATGTTGACTGTAAGTCCATAAAAGTATCTATTGCCAGATGTCGACTAATTTATCCTGTAGTGCGACATTTTTTTAAATTTTTTAAAATTTTTTCCTTTTTATATTATATTAAGATAATTAAGATAAGTAAGACAATTAGAAATATTCATTGATTACAATTACCAATAAAAGCCCATTAAATGCATTTAATATAGGAGTATTTAAAAATGTACCTATTATTTCAAATTGTTGAATAATAGATTTTTATGCCAATTGTATAATAAATAGATGGAAATCTCAACATTTTAATGTGATTGAATAGATTACTTAAGTAAAAAGTTGTAATTAATTTACACTTGTAATTTTTTATTAAGACTCATAATTTTTAGATTCGTATAAGTTTGTGTAAAATATATTTAAGCAAAGTTTTTAGTTAGGATATTAACAATCAATTTTTCCAGTTATTAGTCTGAAAGTAAAAAAAATTATATTATATCAAAGCACTATATTTAAAAATAGAAAGATTATACAGCTTACCTATATTTTGAACACATTTTCTTGGTATCTTGTAGTTTATTTAAATAAAATGATAGGTTCAAGTATTAATAAAACAACTGCTAAGCACACCACATGCTAAAAAAAACAAATTTTATTAATTATTGAAATTGAACTAAAAGTACAAAGTACTAACTTATGTAGTTATGTTTACAAAGAGGACACAGTAAAGATCCAATCCAACATATACTCAAGACACAATTAGAATACAATCAAGACATAGTCAGTATAGAGGCATGACACAATCAGAATATATCCAGTATACAGTCAGGGTATGATTAAATCTAAATATAGTTATTTAAAGGTGCTATTGATGTTAAAGGTTCTAATACTTGGAATTTTTTTATAAAATAAAAATAACTATTTGTTTAAATAAATTAAAAAATAAATATTATTTATAATTTATAAATGATATAATATATTCGTATTAATACATTATATTATTTGCTAATAATAATATATTTTATTATATTTTTATTATATTTTGTTAAAAATTGAACTATGAAGCTACTTACTTTCACTCATAGTTTTAATTTTCCCTTGCAATGTATCTGAGAAGTAGAAGAGCACATCCGATTTTAATTGCATAGCAATGCTCTTCGAAGCATACATAATCTTGAATTATATTATAATTAATATTTTGTAATAATGAAGTTAACTTGTTTTAAAATAATAATGAAAACATAATCTATTTACCAGAACTTTCATTTTTTACGCGCATTACGCTTCGGTTTCTTCCCACACTTTTTCTTCCCCTTAGCACCTTTCTTATTAACGCCCTTTTTTTTATTCCGTTTAACTTTTTTCTTTAGATCCATTTCGGATATGACTATAATTTTATTTAAATCCCAATACATGCCGCCACGATCATAACGAACTTTTTCGTCAGGACTCAATGCACGCCATTCCGCCCAACCAGCTTTTTCAATTTCTTCTGGCTTTAATTTAGGATTCTTCAAAGCTAAAATTTCAAGAAATTTTGAAAAACGTCTCTCATCAACATAGGCATTCCAACGTTCCTCATTATCATTTATTATTTTCTCCGTTGCAATCTTTTTCTGCTTAATGAGTTCTTTCTCATATTTCGATGCTAAGGGTTTTTGACGTCTTTTATGCTTACCAACTGAAGGATATACCCGTTTTTTAGGTGTAGGCTCTTGATTGCTCCAAAAAAAGTTTTTAATTTTTGTCAATATTCCCATTTTATTTCCGAAAGCAGATTATATTTAAAAATTAAAATAAACAAAAAAATAAAATATATGATAGAAAAAAATTAAGATTTAATATTATTTGTTTAATCGGAATGAAAACTTGATCTTAAAAAAAAATACGAGAGGATTACTAGTGGAAAAGTTATTAAAAATATTCAAAACTAAATTTTAATTCATTATGAATACAAATAATTTTCGAATTAAAATGAAACCAATCCATTAATATTTTAATGGTGTTATTTGCATTTATTATATACTATGTTCATATATATATTATTTTATGACCAAACGATTTCAATAAAATGGTACATATATTATACCACTGTGTATAATATACTTTTACCTTTATATAAAGGTTTAAATATGTATTATTTATAATTATTTAAAATTGCTGAAATAATGAGTTTAATGAAATTTAATTTAAAAAAAAAATATGCTTCGATTTTTTCAGTTTATATATGATGATTCTCAAATTCTTGTTGGTAGTCCTCAATCCCTCGACGTTAAGTTGTGGCGAGCTATTACCAGCTATGTACCCACAAGTCAACGAAAATTACCTCCTAATAATGCATGCATATGAAATGTTCCGTAGAGTAGTTTATAACACTAAGAAGTAGTTTCAATGCTAAGACCCATAAGAGCGACTTTGTGACCATTTAAATTTCATGTTTGAAGACGTGTTCACAAAATCTAATTGAATTTATTGCTGTGGATGTATTTAGATAAAAAAACTGCAATGATACGCATTCTGACTCTTTTTTTCTTTTATTCAACTCCACCTGATTCATACATACAGCTGACAGCACCTATAATATTTATAATGTAATCTTTTCATATGGTACTCATAAGCATCGACACTTGACACAAAAATAATGTAAGTGATTTATGAATCATTCACGAGTATTATGTTATAGTCAACTAAATTTTGCCTGTATTCTTTTCTGTCCATAACAAATTTTTTGCTTAGCAAACAACAGCGCTCACACAAAATTTCTACTAATGCCAAAACTGGTCAAATCGATAATCATTCATTTTCGATGAGTACATTCATTGATTCATATGACGCGAGTATATATTATGACTCATGAGTCATCTGCAATGTATGCTACTGTACTTAGAAAATTATACGGACTCTTGTGACGCTAATTCATAAACATCCAGACTCGTTAACGAAAACCCTTTTAAATAATTTCTATAGCGATCAGTCAGTGTACTCTGACTGTTAAAATACTCCTTCTCGTTGCAATTCTCTGATGTAGTTATATCGCTATATATCTCATATAAAGAAACAGTCAAAGCAATTTATTGCTTTGAACTGCACCAGTTCTAGAAAAGGCGAGGATATTTATACTCTTAATTCTTATAGAGCAAGTTACTTTTTTTTTACAAGCACAACTCCGATATCGTTGAAAGTGGGACTATATTTTTAGCATATTGATCTCATTAAATGTTTCCGTGCATGTGTTCTCACGTCCTTTCATGTTTTATTATTTATTATTGTAATTTCATTTTTCTTTTTAATTTAAAAATATAAAATCCATTTATTTTTATTTGGTTTAAGTCCCATTAAAATTTAATTTGCATGAATAATTTTAAAGTTCAAGTGTTGAACCAAATATGACAACAAACTTAAAATGGAAAACTTTCAATCTCCAATCTCCTACTTAGAAGTTAGCTGAGCTATACTTTAGGAAGAAAAAATCTGAAAAGTTGTGAAACAAACATTTAAGAATTTATTGCTTTTCATTTTGTGCATAATCAAGTGCCAACTTTGCTTGAGCAACAACAGTTGTTAACAACGAAACTATTGCAATTTGCAGCAATAATCTGTGTGCTTATGGTGAAGTAGTTGCATTTCACTTGAGCCAATACCGCCCGCCTACAAGAGGCACATGAATGATTTGCAAACTGATGCCTTATATGCACCTACGAGCATTTGGAGCCTAGGTTAGATGGCACATCCGACCACAGTCACATCTGCTACAATATTTGAAACTGCATCAGCATTTGTCTCAAACTACAGAATCTTATTCGGTGGAACTTTTGTTTTTGGGCTCAAATTCTTCTGCAGATGATTTCATTTAACACTTCGCTTCAAATCAAACATTTCAACTGCATACGCCTGTGAGCACAAGGGCAATTTGCATAACAAAACTGGCAATTTACACTCTCAGCATCTCATCTCAGCCAGTTATTGAACAAATGCAATATGCCTATTTGTTAAGTTGTAGATACAAGATACTTAAACTCGTAGTTAGTAGGACCAAAATGTTGGATTTCGTGTCCAAATAAATGACAACAACACAGACAAAATATCTTTGCCAAAGTTTTTGATCATCATACATTCATCAGATGGCATTGAGGCATGTATTTGGTTTCTATTTTGAATTTATTTTCATTTTATGCGACAACGCTTCATGTAAAATCTAAAATTTCAAATGTAATTGCAATCAATAAGTTCGAAATTTATTTATTCAAAAATAATGAATTGCTCTTTTGAAAGATAACATTTCATCTAAAATATTCAGAATTCATTTGCTACACTGAGTGATTCGTTATAAAACAATTACAACAACTTTAAATGGTACGCCTACGTATGTGGATGAATTACAATATAAATTTTGGTATTTCGATTCTTTAAATACGGATATCCTGTGAAAATAAAAATTTATTATTTTTATTCTATTGACACTTCTTAGTTTTTATAAATGAATTAAAAGGCTTGAGATACTATATTCATTAAAGTTATTTAGAAAATATTTCACCATCTTAAGTTCAATGTGATATAACGCAGATGTGACCACTTCGATTGAAGTAGAGCACATGCAATAAATTACTAGTATTTGATGTTATAAAATCAAATGAATACATTTTTATTTATTTTATTGGTAAATTATTTTGAAACTAGTACTCACATAAATATTATATTTGCTGTATTTAGTTTTCCTACTCAACTGTCTTAATATTGCCATACAGTATTGTCATTATTGTTATCCACAGCGTCTTTAAATTACTTTTCAATAGTAGTCGAAAAAAACATCATTTATTTACTCAGTTAAATAGTAAAGACAATTAAAAAAAAATGGGATGAACAATCATCACCAGCATATTTTAATCTGATTGCTTCGTAATATATATAAGATATTCATATACTTCTTCAATGAATGAAATAGTATATGTCCAAATTTTACTTGCAAAAACATCATTCTCACAAGTAGCTAGCTACTCATTTTCTGTGTTTCTTACTAAAACTCAGTTCTAATACATCTTCCAACAACTTTGTAAGATAACTAATAAAACAAACATTTTCTAGAAAAATTGCTCAAAAAAGCTTTTAAATATCTTTTTTTTAATGGTGTCTTCAGATCTTCTTCAAAGTCGGACAGTCGTAAAATGTGACTGACAGTTTCATCTCTTTCAAGATGAAACGATATTCTTTCACATTCCATATTGTTGCGACGGTAACACGAGTTAAGATGATCCTTTTCGTTATCTTAGCTTTACCCCGCTAAGAAATAAATTAATCTAATTTAAAAAAGAATTTTAAACAAGACTCTAAGACTCTAATCCCTAAACGAGACTATAATCTTCGGCACTTAAATAGATCTTAGAGGTTATAAAAACAAGACTACATTTTGCAAAAGGTGTAACTTCTCTTGCTTATATCTGATTTGGTGACAATTTTTCACACTTATTTCATATCTTATTTTCAATATTACAATTAAATATGTGTACTATAAACACATATTTTTCTTTAAACTCAGAAAAAACAAACGAGTATTTATTAATTTGAAAGATGGTGTTTTAGGTATGGGTATAGTTGCTATCATCTGTCAATATTGAGTGAACTGACCAATTGGCTTCGGCTACTTGAATAAACCATTATTTTATTTTATTTATTTTTAATAACTTGTATTCAAATAACAGTGTAGATTTCACACTGAAAAAATAACAAAAATTGCTGTTAAAATATTCCTGACACCAAAATTGCTTTTATACAACAATTCTCAGAACCATGTTAACTTATGGAACAGTAGCCTGGGGGAATTACACAGAACAAGAAACAGTGATTAACATTGTCCACACCAAAATAAACTAACATTGCTTTTAGAGTGTCTCGAAAAGCTGATTTTTTGACCAACACAATCAGATAGAGATTCTACAGATTTCTAGTCAAGCTGAAATTTCCGGCAACAAAATAACCAAAGTTTCCTAGAAAGCTTTGCTACTTATAGATCCGGAACCATTCTGGGGTTTGGGAGTAGGTAATTTATTTTCATCCAAAAAACAAAAACAAAGAAAGCTGTACTGAGATAGACTACCGGGGCTATCAGAAACAAGCGGACTATAAAACCAAAACGAATTAAGGAATGCAAGCAACTAAGGAGAAATAATTTCAAAATCACTGCAAGAACTCTAACAGGTCACAGTTAAAAGGTGATAGGTTAAACTATAGGTTTTTTAAAGAAAGAAATAGAACCTCAAATTAAATTTTGGGGGCTTATCCGGAACTAATTCATAAACATAGGAAGTACTTAGATGAACATCTCTAAGTCCGTGAAGGGGTTACAATATTTATCTAGATCGTAATGCGTAATGTTTTGTTATTACAAAACATCCTGAATATCTATTCGCAGTCATTGTATATTGTATAGTTAATAAATCAAACATAATTTTGCTACTAAAAATAAACTTCCAAGAAATAAAATATCATTTCTAACAAATTACATCCAGATGTACGTGTGTATTAGACCCAATACCTGGCAGTGTACTGTTTACAGCTCTGCTATAAATCTTTCCAAGTTATTAATAATTTTTATGAACTCAATGCTTATTTATATACATTTTTTTACTTATTTTTTTATCAATAAAAACACTAAAATCACAACTCATAATTTCTGCATTGGATATCTGCAATGCTTCGGTCTGCTGAACTTTGATGTCTGTTCTTCGAAACATTTTAACGTGTCATTGAGTCCACATTTTATTTCTGTGCTCTGCTTTAGTTCATAAAATAAACGTCAAATCGTAAAGATTACAAATGCTTCGTCGGACAAGTTACCGTCCCGTTACTGTGTGTGATGTCACACTGCAAGGGGAAAGTCGGAAAGTGTTAAAGTGTGAAAGTGCGTTAGGAGTACGCATGGCCGACCTCAAATGTGTAACGAATTTTTAATTTGAAAATGACAAACCCAAACTAAAATGTGTTAATGTAGGTCAGAAATAACGGCAAAAATGTAAGGCAGTAAGCAGAAACCTTACTTGGTTAAAGTATTCGCTGTTCAAAAAATGTTGGAAAATTAAATAATAGATGGCGCAAGCAAACCAATAATGGAGATAACTGAGATAAATCCATCACTGCGCTAATGAACAAAACTGTTATATAAGTATAACAGTTTAATAAGAGAAGCATACACAAAGGCTTTGTTCAAATTTATATAATAAAAAAAATTAAATATGATATTAATTTAAAATAATAATTATAATAGTTAGTTTTAATATTAAATTATATTTAATTAAATTTATTTGATTAAATTATAATCTGTATAATAAGAAAAAATCCATTAATATATATTTGCAAGAAATAAAAGGCTTATTTACCATAGTTAGAATGATCCAATTTAGTTCAAATTCGCACCATTTCGTTCGATAACTTGTTGCCATTTTGAAGGCATTACGCTTCTCTCATAGAAATCCTCGTGTCTATTGGCAAAAAATTGAGACAGTTGATTTTCACAATTCGCTCTTGAAGCGAATTTTTCATCAGAAAAATTATTCATCGTTCGCCGTGGATATGAACAGATGGTAATCACTTGGTGTCAGATCAGGACTAAAAATTGAAAGCATAAAAACTTCGCAACCAAGCGCCCTAAGCTTTTGGCGAGTCATTTTTGATATGTGTGGGCTAGATTTGCCCTGATGGAACACAATTCTTCTCCTATTGCCCAATGCTGGCCGTTTCTGGGCGATTGCTTCCCTCAGACGATCCACTTGTTAACAGTGCAGTTCTAAGCCGTAGTTGACAGATTTACCGCAGAGAAGCAGCTCATAGTAGATAATTTCCAGCCAATGCCCCCAAATATACGGCATGACCTCCCTGCGCGTCAATCCTAGCTTGGCACCATTTTAACTATCTCATCACGATTCGATCACGACTTTTCATCACCAATCACCAACCGCTTCACAAATAGGCCGATTTTATTGCGATTTAGCAGCGATTATAAAATGGATATTCGGTCTATGAGGTTTTTATCGTTAACTCAGTAGCACCCATGTATCCAGCTTCTTTTTGTATTCAGTCTTATGGTCTTATGTTCAGTCTAATAGTCCCAATCGGTATTTTGTACAATCTTTAATTTTTGGGGAATCAAAACAGTGCTTGACTGTAACATTACAGTCAGATTCGACAAATTTCATAATTTTATAGATATTTTCAACAATTTTATGATATTTCCAGTGCATGATGCATCTTTGACATCGATATTAACGGTACAGAATGAATGAACCAAAATTGCGCATGTTTAGGGTATTACAATATCAAGACCATAAACACTATTCACATTTCCTGCCGCCTGGCCTGCGTTTTTATCTTTATAAAAAAAAACTTGTAAAATATGGCATATTTTCTCCTTGCTAACGCCCATTTTTGATGCGCGCTCAAGTAAAACTAAGGCAACCAAACTTGCAAAAGTTTTTTAGTACGAAATCTCATATTTCTAACGCCATCTAGCTTACCTCGACAACTCACTAAAGCCATCTATTGGGTAAATAATGGATTTCTTTTTAGTATACCTAATATATGTAATTAAAGTTATTAATTATTAAATTTTTAATTTTAAGGGCCATTTTATTGTGGTGTTACTAACCATAACCTGCTGACTGCTTACGTAGTACAAGAATGTTATATCAACTTATCATCAACTTATCGGAAGAAGTATTGCTTATTTTACATATGTTTATCTATCAACCCTTTTTTAATCTAAAAATTAGATTTTATATAATTTGTTTTTATCACATTTCGAAAGCCCACAAGAAAACTAAGCAATTGCATTTTTATTGCTAAATTATATAGACAGTTATATGACGAGTGGTAACGGCAATTTGACGCTCTTTTCTGTCATAATGAAAAGGCATTGTTATACGTAAAGTCATATCACAATTGTTAATCACCTACTTTTAATACAATTTTTGTGTCTTTATTTAAAAGATACTTATGTGTAAACATATTCACACAAAATAAACATATTTATTCCTAATGGCCCATGTCATACTTAAGTGAAATTGTCAATTAAAATTGGGTTTTATAACAGATTTCACACAGTTTACTGCAGTCAGTGCATTGAAATTATATTCATGCTTTGGTGCTGTTGAAAAGATGATGAAACCAATACAAGCTCAATGATATTTTTCTTATAATTTTTTTGATATAGTCTATTTTACATTTATACGGATATTTTATTCTTAATGCCAGAACGGAACATGAAACAGCTAAAGTAAGAACTTTATAAGGAATTTGTTAAAACCAAAAATAATGTTAAATTATTTTTCAAAATATTTCTTGTGCTTTTCTATACACATGCAACCATTCAGAGTTTATGTATACGAATTTTTAATCTACATAATTCATCAAATGTAGCAAGCACCAAATTAATGCATAAAAATTACTCATGTATTGCAAATTCCAATATTTATTATTAAAGAAAACTGTTTTGACCAACATGACAAGACACATAAAAGTCTTGTGAAAATTGTAGAAATAGTGTTACTAACTTTTAACGCATATATCGTCTTATGTAGAGATATACATACTTTACATATATTTTATACAGCCTTGTTTAGAAATATATGTTTAAGTTGATTTTAAACTTAATGATTGGCACACGGATAAAGTTTTTTATTTAAATTTTTTTTATTTTTAATTTTTTAAAACTATTAAATTAAAATAAATAATTAATATTTATTTGATTTGTTCGCATAAATAAATAAATAATTAACCTAAAATCGAAAAATAATTATTTTACGTGTCTAATTTAAATGGAAATCCAGTCAAAAGTATCTTAGCCAACATTTTGCACAAACGACATCAACATCGGATTAAACTTCATTACATTCGAGATAAAGTTGATTGCAGTCGAAACCTGAACGCCCTCTGCGTCCGGCTTCATAGATGTGCTCGAACTGTGCGTCACTGGTGCGGTCCAGTAGAAAACTGGTAGCATAACTGTAACAGCAAATAAAATTATTTTTAACATATTTATTCCGAGTAGCTGTGCGCGGCAAAGTGATTTCAATTATAACTTACGATCCCAATTGGCAGAAGATGCTGCTGCCACCAATCTCGCGTAAGCACTCCGTATTCGCTTCGCACATATAACGTTGCATGCATTTCTCATCCGCATTACGGTAGGTGCGCACATAACCTTTAAGCATCGAAATACCTGCAACGGTGGCATCGCTTACTGAATCACGTTTGCCCAGCGAGCGCGCAGTCAACGAACGATGCGAGAATGAAGTCTTCAGTGCATCCAATAGATTCATCACAATTTGTATGAACTGCAGTTGATGAAGAGAATAAAATTCAATTAAAGGCAAAGTGGTAATTGGTGCTTTTAAAAATTTTACAACTTTTAAGTGTAAAGCAAACGAAACGTGTGTGTAAATTAAGAAAATTAAAAATGAAAATTATTTATAAAATGTAATGAAAAAGTTAATCATGAACGAATTATTAATTATAATTAATATTGCTATTAACGATACGATTTACTTAATTTATAGTGTTTTACCTCTCCAGCTTGTTTGGCCATTGAATTTACTTGATCTGGATCTTTGGTGCCAAGAACCGAAGACAGCACTGCTGCTAAGATGCCCTGTTGCAAGCGAGAAACCATAAAACCAAACACCAAATCAATTATAATTTGCAAATAGGGAAATATACAAAAAAAATTATTTTATTATTTATACAAATTTATTAAAGTGGAGAAAAAAAATTTTTTTTAACTGATTCTAAGCCAAAGAAGATGGTATTGAATGAAGAATGAATCTATGACAACTTCAAGTCAGTAAAGGAAAGAGCCAAGAAAGATTTAATATATGAACTATAATTTTTTGATTTTATTATTTTTTTGTACCTACTAAATCGTTAAAAATAACTCTGGATTTTTTTATAACTGCAAAACAATAAATTTCTTTCTTTAGGTTAGGTTGGGTTCAACCGATTGTTACCAAGACCCTATATATAATAGTTAAGGACACGGTAGGTGGACTTGTAGTGCTATTGAGCGTTGCCTATGCGCCCTGCTTACAGATATCAATAAACAATTCAGTAACAATATTTTTTAAAAGACTTGAACCAAAAGAATCACATAAATGGAGACGTTTCTTAACCACTAGATGGAACTGACAATCTTTCACTGTCAAACTTATGATAGTAACCCAAGTTATCGTAGCAATATTTCTATTTAAACCTAATTTGAAAGACATTCAAGTTCCATAAGTGGAACAAAAATTTTTGGCACTGAAATCGAGTTCAAAGATAAAAAAACTTTATGGTGGGTTTAGATTAACTTTAGTTTCTAATGGTAATGCTTGATTTAGTACCGGTTCTTCAAACTTAATATATTTTAACATTAACTTATAACAACAATAAACAATTTAAAAAGATTTGAATTAAGAGAATCACTTTTAAAAATTCTTTCATATACTTGACACAGTCGTAATCTTTCTTTCTTATATTAGTAAGCATTAACAGAGATTTAGCTTAAGGTTTTTGCAGAGATTATAATAAACATAACTAATATCCAACTAGATAACTTAGTTCATTGTTATCTTTCAAAGTACCAGATCGTTTTCTACTGTCAAAGCTAAATTTTACAAATCATCTGATGTACTTTATTCTCTAATAGGAATTACCGCAAAAATTAGTGATCTTGTTAAGGCAAACGAAAGTGGCAGATCGGAGATCGTAAAAACCTCTCATCTCGAATCGAAGACAAAATAAAATATAGAAAACTTTTAAACGTATCCTGTTTCCAGATTTAGGTAAAAACAAAGCTAAATAAAGCATAATCTATAGGATAAAAGTATTTCATTGTACAACAAAGAAGTATTTTCATATAAAAGAAGGTCGAAAAATTCAACATTAATAAGATTAATAATAGTTTCGTACTTTTTTGCATAAAGAACTTCTATATTTCTTAAATATTTTCTTAATTTTGCCTATGGTACTAATTTTGTTGACATTATTTCTTAAAAAACATAGACTAGATCAGATCATTCGTTTTTTGTCTATATGAGTAATTAGTGAACCCAATATAGAATGCAATTTATTTACTTTCTATTGGATTTTTTATTGATCCAATAGATCAACTTATTTTTTTATTCAACTAAATGACTAGAGATTTGGACTGTTGAAAAGTGGAAAATATCAAGACTGTTTTAAAAACCATATCTCTAGTCTCCAATCCAATAAACCAATGAAGAACATTTGCTACAATTTATTTAATATCATCAAAACAAAAGAAATGTGTATCAGTGAAAGATCGGAAGAAACTATTTAAACTGTCTGATTAACCAATTGGACGATTCAGAAAGTTTTAATATGAAGGATGCATTCTAGCGTAGACACAAGGACAGATATAGGTTATAAAAAATATTCCTGCAGCTTTCATGGTAAAAAATATATCTACTATATTTTAAATTAAGTAAATGTAAGTAATATTGTGCCATATAACAATAACTGAAATAATAATCTGAACCGTTGAGTTAATAATTGCTGTTAAATTGTAACTCAAAAATTAATTTGGTGGGTGGGAAAAGCGATTAAAAGCTTAGCAATTAGTATAAATACTAGTTGAAATCGTAATTTATAAAAACGAAATAATATTTACAGTGTAAAAGTACTAAATAAGCGTGAAAAAGTGCAACTAAACTATTTTTAATAAAATGCAATGAAACTCACCTGCATCGGTGAACCGCCATTGTCGACTTTATCAATGCCATCGCTTGGTGCACCTCCGCCCAATAGTGTATTTATGATTTTCAAGCCTAAGGGTGAATACAAAGGAATTAAATAAAATTTGTAAATATATAATTAATTACACGAAAGAGAAACCTTTCTCAAAGCAATAAGTTCCACTCACCCATTGAAATAACATTCGCCCACGGAGAACCACCAAAACCGATTGTATTGTCAACATCATCCGATTTTGTGGGCGCATTGTTGGCATTACCATTGAAGAACATCGTTAAGACTGTGGACAACATGTTCGACCAGGAGAATGCATTACTGGTGGACTCTTGTATTTGATTGCTTTCTATGTCATCCTCGATGTCGTCTAATGCCACTTTCTTTGAGGCATTTGGTTTAACTGCAAACTTGCGACCGCTATTTACGCTTGTTTCGGGATAGTAGACAGGTGAGAGTTGCTGTTGTTGTTGTTGTTGTTGTTGCAGCTGCTGCTGCGGGGAACTGCTTTGAATTCGTCGCTGGTAGGCCTCATTTTGTGGGTAGGCGTAAGTGAGCAAAACGCAGTTTGTGGTCACAATGGCGAGTAATAAATAAGCATTAATTTTCCTTTGATTGAACATGCTGCAAGAAAAAAATAGAATAATAATTATTAAATATAGCTATAGTTGATAGTAATAGATTAAATATGTACTTTCACAATGTATTAATTAATTTAAAAACGCATATCTTTAAATTAAATTAAATGCTGGATTGCCGTAATTATAATAGTTTTAATTGGATTTTAAAGATAATTAAGTAAAAATATATAACACTCAACCAAACAAGACTTAAGATATAAATTGCCAGCGGTACTATCTATCTACTTTACGTTCGAAAGTTGGGTTTTAAAAATTTTTTAGTACTTTTCAATTAAAAAACTTAACAGTTTTATTTTAATGACACTTAACTTAAGTCAATTGCTCAATTAAAATAAATAAAATTTTATTTTTTTATCAAGAATTCAACAGTTTGCCAAAGAGAAATTTTTTTTTGCAGATCCTCTGGCAATTTGAAAAACGTTTGTAATTATTCTGTGGTTTTTCTATAAAACTTATCAGATATTTAAATGTTTGTAAACTGCTTAACTGTATAACACATTCTCAAAAACCATAATTGAATTTTTCTAAATTACGAATATTTACAGCCGCTTAACATAAACTTAAATCATAAAAAAACCATAAAATCAATTCATCAAACATTTAAGAATCTAGTCTCATTCAGTCGATCTTAATCTTTGCATATCGAAGGTAGTATGTTGCAATTACTAGAGCTTGTCTTTTTTTCTACTCGTGGTCATCTATTGTACAAACATCAGCAGTTAACTTTTCTTTTTATCTTTTGATTTCGAGCAGTTAATGAATGAAAGAAACGCTACGAACTTACAACTTACAAACTTTAAGTAGGAAATACTAGTAAAAAATTACATAAACATTTTTTGTTCTTCAACTCATAAAACAAATTCTTCACTGCCTCAGCTTAGAAGTCAGCATTTACTTCTGGAATGAGTTCAGAGTACAATGTACGCTCCACATTGCCGCTCTTCACACATCCCAAATGCATTGAAAACAAATTCACAGCTGCACGATAAATGCACGAATGCAGCTGAAGCTCCTATGAAAGACTATGCTGCGCCATCTAGCATATTACCGTTAAATTAATATCAGAACAACAATAACCTGTGCATTTCCATCAATAATCGATAGCAATCAAGTCGTTGAAACTGTTATTCCACTAGTCTGATTTGAGCAACGCAGCATTTGTGCCTACCAGTCGGACAGACCAACTGCTAAATCGGCCAGTGGCCATAAGAAATTGTTTTGATTAAATGTGAAGGCAAGCGCTGCATGCGACGAAGAAAGTATCTGCAAGAGAACATATGTAGTATCTGCTGTCAGCCATTTACTGCTCAGCTTAGAAGCTAATAAAAACGTTTAATGTTTTTGGTTAGCGGTTTTCTTTCACACGTACTGACCTGACTTGTTTTTGTGTGACACAATTTTGTGCTGCATAAATTAGCGCGCCTCGGAGTGGCTTCGTCGTAATTATCGAAGACATGTAAATTTAGAAAGCAACGCGGACTGTTAAGAAATTTCATGCTCAAACTGGAGTTTGAGTTTATTTTTATCAAGAAATTAAACTTCAATTAAAAAAGATATATTTTATAGTTTAGCATAAGTGTGCTCTCGTGTGAAGATATTTCGTAGTAGAATTTTTATTTCAATTTCCGAAGAAGTGTGACTTCATTACTAGATCCAAGTTTCAAATTTTTAATTTGAAAAATAAGTCATTTGGAAATTATATGTGGATTTGAAAAATTGTGACTTTAAGATAAACATTAGTGGAAGTTGAGTTAGGTTAGTTTATATTGGCTACTAACATATATATAAAGCATCTATATATATCTTAGAAAATCAATTTTTACATATAAACTATATACAAATAGTTTCCATTTTTTCTATTATTGATTTCATTAATTTACAGTAAATCGAATAATTTAATATTGAACGACTGTGAAGCAATAAATAAAATATGATAATATAAAAATATATACTAAAATGATTTCGTTCTAATATAAACACAGCACGTAAAGTAGTTAATAAACTTTCACAGTAAATTATTAAAATCCAAGTACGGCTTTAAGTCAGTTGGCTCATGAACACTCACTCTGAGCTTCATATTTGACAGGGCACGAGTTGCAGTCTAAAAAAATTATTTACGCATAATTAAATCTAATAATTTCAAGACCACTGATGATGGGTACACTACTGTTTTTTGATACATTTTTACACATAATTTTTTTTTATTTAAAATTAATTTTTAATCAAATATATATTAGCCATTATTATTCATGACTTTTTGCCATTTTTCGGGCAGCTTCATAATTCCATCGCTGTAAAACGTTTGTGGTGAATGGATGAAGACTTGCTCAAATGATATTCAACGACTTCTCGGTTGTTACAAATGGCAATTAAACGGTGCATAGTTCGAGCTATACAGTAGATGCGTCAAAGCTTCCTAACCAAGTTTCATCAGTTTCTTCAGAGTCAGAGGAGTTGAAGCAATATAGCTTCTTCTCTGTTGGACAATTATGGTCGCTTTTTCTTAATTATTTCATTCAAGCGATCGTGTTGTGTGTAAAGGAGTAGCAAGTGAACATCCTTTGCACAAGGATGAAGCCTTATTTTTCTAATACAGGGATGAACATCAGAACTAATAGTAAGCAGCATTTTAAATTTAGTATAAGTTTTAACTTAAAGGTTGCGATAATGCATGCGATAATGGCACCCGTTTACATTGATGATGAGCAAAATCATCATCAAAATAACTGCGTATCCACTTATAACGGAATTAGGCAATATCTCTCTAAAGGGCATAATGGAGTTCTTAATTGATACTCATCTATGAAACTAAAGTGGGTGTGTCACAATAACCCTCAAAGGATGCAGTGACGTGGTGACAAGGTCCCGATCCGTTTAAAATCTGATCTAATCTAATCAAAGATCAGCCAAAGTACATCTTAGAATTCATGCCACTTGATATGAGCATCTCAAAAATGTCGTTATGTGCGTTTATCTTAAAAACGATTTTTATAAAATTTTTATGGGCTTATAAAAATGTTCATTAAATTAAGTAATAAAAGGAATTATGGTATATAACTTCTAAATATATTTTATGCTGAATTGTGTTTCCTTCTGTTATTCTTTATAAGATATAAAAATTTATTACTACTACGATTTTATCTACTTTAAAATTTATTAATGCAATGAAAAACTTAAATATTTAAAAACAAAAGTCATATTAAAAAAATTACAAAATAATGAAATGTAAACCTCAATTAGTCTTTTGACAAGACTTCGTTAATTTATTGTCTCCTCATTTTTGTTTCAATTTTGTTAACTAGAAAAAATGAAGTTTGCGACTAAAGTCTTTTGTTCCACGCTCAACTTCAAGTTGAAGTCATGCATCAAAATTTTTGGAAAATCACGTCGTAAAAGTTGCAAAGCATACACTTCCACACCCAATGAGCGTGACTCCAGCACAAAGAATCACTTTCAGAGCCATAAAAAATCATTATTGTGCCACTAAGTAATTTTGTAGATTTATTAAATTTTTTCGTTGTCTAAATATCTCAGAGTTTTCTTTAACTCATGCAATTTTATAATTAATTAAGCTGTAATTGAGTACATCACTTTATTTATTTTATATTATATTATTTTAGTTTTTTTTCTTTTTTTTCTTTAGAAAATAAAGTCATAATAATAAATATCAAAAAGGCATTTGTTATAAATTGTATTAAAAATAGAAAGTCCACAAATGCCAATAGCGTGAGCCGCTCGCCGGGCTTTAATTGAGTTACTCGGAAAAAGATTGAAAATTGCCGTAAAACTCAAACGACAATAAGTAGACACTGGCGATTTTCTCTCAGTGAAACGATTTCTTATTTCAATTTTTTTCTTCTTGCTATTATTTTTTAATAATGAATATTCATGGTTCAACTAATTTCACTTTAACAAAATGCAAAGAATCCAGAGATTTTCGACTTTTTATTATTTCATTTATTTTGTTTGTTTATTACACTTTTTTTTAAAACTGAGAGTGAAATTAAAATGATTCATTCTTTAGCATCTTTCGTTCATTTTATTTAGATACTTTTTTATATATTTTTTATTTTTAAAAAAGTACTAATGCTGTTAAGGTTGAGTGAATCGCTTTACTTTCCCTTTTCTTAAAGCCGAAAATACCCGCAATATATTGACCACAAAAATATATTTTGAGCTACGAAGTATTGCATAAAACAGTTTTAATTAATTACTTAGATTATCTTCAAAGAAGTGAAACCAAAAGTAATTGGAATTAAAATTACAAAAGACTTATGAAACAAAATAGATAATTGGACAGATAATTTAATTTATAAGGCAATGATTTTATATTAGTAAAAAAATTTAATTACTTGGGAATGTCATTAAAATTTTATTAATGTTTGCACTTCTAATGAAATTTTTTTTTATACTATATAAACTAATTTTTTAGTCTAACATGATATACAGTAGACTATTTTATAAATAGTTTTATACTGATTCATAGCAAATATCCCTAGTATAATCTGTTTATTATTAGTAAACAAGTCTAAGCCTAACTTCAATTTTAGATTGTTGGATAGAGAAACGCAACTTAACTTAAAAATCCACACAGTATTTTATAAAAGAAATAATTCGATATTTTCATATACCCCTTAATATAAACACAGGAATCAGACCCATAGCCAGATATACACTCCTCGAAAGGCTGGCAGTTTAAAAACGAAACACTCATGGATTGAATTAAATCCTAGATTTTTGTTAAATATATATAGCAGCGAACTGAAACTTTAGTGTGTGCTTTTAGTTTTTGTGATGATATTTTTATAAGATTCATGGTATAAAATAATCTTTCAACTTTCGTTCAACGCCTTGAACTCTTCAAGCAATATCATATTGTTTCGTTAGCCATGTTCCGTCGTGTCACTTTTAAGTATTGGGAAGAGAAAAAAGCCACAGGGGTCCAAACCCGGAGAATACTGTGGTTAATTATTATTAAAAGC